GCTCACCCTCATCTCTCAAGTTTTTTCCCTTCCAATGTATTTTGGGGTCATCCGTTAAGAATATGCCTGTTTGCCAAGGCACCTGCCTCTTGTGCCCAGTGGATCCTGGTGGATGGATCAGGGCTCCTGTGAACATGAAGTCCCACCTAAAGGCACCTCGTTCAGAGGCAGCACAACTGCAGCCTCTCCTCCTTCCAGTGGTGCTGCTGCTGGAAGCAAATGGTTCCTGGAACATGCTGTGGTACGAGGCAGCAAGTGCATGAAGCCTAATAGTAGAGGAACCACGTGTTTAAGTTTCCTACTCCATGAAGGAGGCTGGCTGGCCAGATCTGACTCATCACTGAGGCACGCTGGGGAGAGAAAGGGACTCCGCTCATTTCCTCTGTGTTTTATTTGTCCCTGCATATGTTGCGATCCCAGAAGCACTGGGGGACAGAGAAGCTGCATACCAGGACAGCATGTGGTAGGAGGAGAGGAGATGGCGATGGAGAAAGGCAAACACTAGGAGAAACCTTGCCTCCTTTGCTCCAACATTCTGTGCTCGCAGCTAAAGCGCTGCTGGGGCACATTGGTGCTGGCAAGGTGCATGGAAAGATGCTGTAAAGGGTGCTGGAAGCCAGTGAGACAGGAGCAATGAGGATAAAGGATAAATGAAAGTAAGTAGTGGATAAATGAAAATAGGTAGTGTTCACTACTAACATGGGCGCTGCAGTGTTTCCACATTTCATTGTCCTCCCTAGATGCTAAACCAGACACGTTCCTGACTGCTGTAAAAATATCCTTGAAGGTCTGGTCGTTCTTATCCCCATCTGGGGTAGAAGAGAGCAGGGAGGCTTTCTGAGCCACAGTTTATTGGAAGCCATGTGTGTGCATGTGTGTGTATGTATGGGTTGCCTACACTTATATGAAAACCTCTCATAAGAACAACCTTATAAGCCATCAGGAGTGAAGGGAGCCCAATGACATTTCTTTCTACTCCCAAAGTAAGCCTTGAAGCACAACACTTAACTCCCAGCCAACTCTGCCCTGTGCAGAGGCCAGATTGTAAGGTGCATTGCCCAGCCTGACAGACCCTGCTTTGGTGGTCGTTGCAGGGCTGGCATCCCATCCCTGGTTGCACTTCAAAGCACTGAAGCCTTCCTGAGCAACGTTTCCTCTCTCAGCCTGCAACATTTCTCTGCAGCCGTGGTTATGGCAGCAGCAGCAACTGCAGCGTGGGAGGTAGCAGGCTTCAGTGTCGGACTGGAAAGACGTTCACACCTTAGGTTAAATCACTGCTTTCAGAATTGATTTACGGGCATAATTATTCATACATGGAGGGATTTTCAGGCAAATGTATGGGTTTGTAATGGAGGAGACAAGCACAGTCTCCCAATCCTACCTCTCATATGGCCATCCCTGCAGGGTCCTGGGACATGGTCCTGTATGTGGGAGGTAAAGCAGGGGTTAGTGCGGGGGGTGCGTGAGCTCCTGTTTCCCTTTCCCAGCCTCAGCCAAAGCATGGTGGTTGCATGGCCCCAACAGGGGCTGCTGGATGCAGCTTCTCAGACAGCAGCAAACCAACAACCATTTTGTGGCAGGATCTGGCCTGTGTGTGACAGCAGCCCCCAGCTCCTGGCCAGGGTTTGCCTGGCTGTGTGCCATTCACATTAGATGCTCAGCTCTGCTTGGAGAAAGAAGAGGGCATTAAATATTCCCTGCCTTGTGGTCCTTCATGTAATAACAGTCAATATCTTGGTAGCACAGAAGCAGAGAAGAAAGCTTTCGCTGTGGTATTGGGGGATGTATCTGAGCAAAGCAGGAGCAGTAAAGGTGTTGCCTGTGCAGAGCTGCATCAAGACCTGCAGCCTCACTGTCTTCCCCTGGAGCCATAGGTAGAACCGATGTCTCCATAGTTCCTGGTGCTGTGGATGCCCATGCCAGGTGCACCCAGGGAGGGGAAAATCACCCTGAATCTTGCTCAGCTTTTCTTTAAAATAATTAATACTGAATACATATGATTCTTGGGGACATACCTCTCCCACACATGCCTAAATGACTTGAGTATTGCCCGAGAAGGAAATAAAAAGACATCTCACACTTTTCATCTCTTGCCTAATTTTAAAAGTCAGGATTTTTAGAGTGTCTTGTGGAAGCCCTATCCTAAGGTTAAAGGTGATTAAATATAAATTATGAACTATTTCATAAGGCGGGGTGTCTCCTAGGAAAAATAGATATGTCTGGACAAGTGTTTTTGATGAGATGACATGGCACAAGAACTCTAGCAGCCTTATAACTCTCCATGTCAGCCTTGCCTTTCCCCAGCACAGTGCAGGGCTGGCTGCTCTGCCAGGTGAAGGTTACTGTGAACCTTTACCTCTACAAGGTCCCAGAGCTGTCTTGATTCAGTTAATGCTAATTTTTCCATTGATGCAGTTGTAAAAAAGATGAATATTTCTATGAAAAAGTGCTAAACCCATAAACTATGTCAATTCTTTGAAGAAAAAGACTTTATTCATTAAAACTAAACCATGCAGGTCTGATTCTACTTCCACTCATAAAAATACCTCGGCACCGTGGTCAAACAATTCATATAAATTCTGGAACTTCTCCGTTTTTACAGCGCGGACAAAATCGAAACTGAATGCATTATACTAGAGAAAGGACAGGCAAAATTTCAGCCACGGTGTATGCTGTTTACCCAGGGCAATGTGCTGTACGAATCTTAGCAGAAAATCGTGGTATTTTGTGTGATAAACATCCTTTCTGCAGCTAGATCTATTTTTATAGTGGCTCCCGAATTGCATTTTCAGTGCCAGACATTGTAAAAGGTACGTGGAAATTGTTCCACTGCGTGTTACCAGTGACAGGTTGATGCTAATAAATAGTGATGAGAAATGCCGAGGTTTAAAAATGGCTTTATGACCCCCAAAAGTTTGAGAAATGTTACTTTCATTGATACGGTGCTTTGCTTCTTGAGCAGAACAGCTTTATTTGAATTTTGCTCATATAATCATTAGTAAAGTTCTCACTCATTGACTGCGTTTTGATGAATAAGGATATACAGGCTCGGATGATAAATTTCTCAGGCAGCTTGCAGGAAAAACGACCAGAAATGTCCCTGTTCACACACACATCTTAATGCTCCCAAAGGAAAGAAAAGCAATAGACGAATTACACCTTCAGCTCAAGTCTCCACCCTATTGTTAAAAGTCTCATGTAAGATGGAAAAAAACCCAAAGAGCTGTGGCAAGCTGCTTCCTCTCCCCCTCGCTTTCGGCCGAGGGGCTGGGAACATCCTCTGGCCGGGGTGGGACAGGCCCTCCTCCTCCTCCTCCTCCTCTTCCTCCTCCCATGGCACTCCCGGACCCGCAGGGAGGGACTGTGGCGGTCCCCGAGGGATGCTCGAGGGGTTGCTGCTGCCGCCGGCAGGTCTGGAGCCTCCCCGTCGAGGAGAGGAGGCAGATCCGTCTGACCCACAGCAAACCCGGGCAGCTCCTGCGTCCTTCCAGCCGCTATTTTCTGTTTCTAGTTTGGGCGCGATTTTTTTCCCCACTTAGTTGAATTTCCGACGGTCTTTGTCGCGGTCGCTGGAACAGCTCGTTTCCCTTGTACAAAATGCCTGTTCCCGCCGCTGTCGCGACGGGGAAGGTGTTTCTGGCAACAGACGGGCAGCGGCTGAAGAGAAGGCAGGCTGGGTGGGGACGGCCGGCGGCGGAGCCCTCGCTGCCCGGCTCCCCGCGGGGAAGCCCCCGGCCAGCCTCTCGCCCCGCTCCGGCCCGGAGGAGCCAGGCTCTCCAGCACGCCGGGCCGGGCCGAAAAATAACGCCTGAAAAAAGGCAGCGGCGCCCGGCAGCGCCTGGGGAAGCAACCGGCCCCAAAACTCTGCCGGCATGTAAAGCCTGGCCTGCAGAGAAAAAACATGCGGAAAGCCACGCCGGGCCGGGAGCTTGTGCTGCAGGGAGGCTTCTTGTCTCCGAGGCAGAATCCGAGCTTGCGGGAGAGGAGGAAGAGAGGCAGGAGCTTTTCCCCAAAGGAAAATGTCCCTGGGACCAGCCCTAACCCCCCGGATACGTCCCGCTCTCGGCTCGCAGCCCGATCTGCCTCTGCCCCCCGGCCCGAGATGACCCGCGGATTTTCTGCCGCATCCCCGGGCTTGCACCCATCCCTCGGGGAGGCGAGCGCAGTCCTGCGCGCCGCGGAGCCCCCGCAGCGGAGCCGCTGGCGGAGCCCGGAGGAGGGCCTGGCTACCTGCGCCGGTCATCAGGAGCC